CCCTATTTATGGTCTGCTCGCTGGGGGCAGACATCCCATAACAGGGCTGGCTTACCTTGTTGCCAGTGGAACTCACCTTATCGGAGAGTATAATCTTGTAGCTGTGAATTGTAGAATAGTTATGGTTGCCATGTTTTTCTAACGGGAAAGTGGGATGTGTGATCTGACAATAATCACTCTAGTCAGAGACAAGGGGACACAGACCTATGAGTCTCTGGGGCTAGGTAGAGGATGGGTTACAGGGAGCCCCTTCCTGACAACTCAGGTCAGCTGGTTTTGCCTGAATTTTCCATCCTGTAGGATGACTTCTTTCCCAGGAGCCTCTGGGTTCCATTGAAAAAAGTATTTTGTGGCTCCTGCCCCATCAGTTTTTCTGATATGCTGGGCAGGTCTGACCCCCAGTGATGGACAGAGATTAGTCCCCAAGTTGACATCCCTGCTATGGTTACTGTTAGCTTCTAGGTCATCATTTAGAATCACTCTATGGCTACAGGTGTGTGGGGGAGGGGGGGAGAGAGATGTATTTTGTGATAGAAGTAATAGTATTTATACTGTTTAACCAGTGAGTGTATATATATATATATATATATATATATATATATATGAATGTTTTTTAAAGATATAAAATGACTTCAGATAAGTATGCTAAACCCCCACCGTCACTGGCTGAATCTCACACACCCCCACCGCCATCAGTTCTACCTGTTCGTCTCCTCTGCACTCGTTGTCCTGCCTCCTTCCTGTTGCTATGGATGTACCGACTGGCGTGTTTCTTTCCTTCTTTCTGGCCTCCCACCCCCTCTTTAAGACATGGCTTCAGCATCGTCCCTTCTTGGTCTGCATCACCTTTCCCTCTACTGGACTGTCAGCGTTAGCCCGTGAGCACGCCGTTCACTTGTCATCTTTACGAAACCCTCCCTTGACTTCACATCCCTCTCCAGCTGCCCTCTCGCTTCTTTCCTCTCCTTTACAACAAAACTCCTTAAAAGAATTATCTATAATCAGTCTCTACTTCCTCTCTTCTCCTTTAAACCTCTTCCAAACAGGCTTTCACCCCTCTCCACTGTAACAGCTCTTGTCAACCTCCCGAAGGACTCTCAAGTTGCTAAATTCTGTGATCCCTTCTTAGTCCTCATCTTCCTTGACATGTTAGCAGGATTTGATGGAGTGGAGGATATCTTGGTTTTTTTTTTTCCTGCCTTTTCAGTCTTCATCTCCTGTCCCCTGAACTTTGGAAAACCCAGGGCCCAGTGTCTGACTTCTTCCCTATCTGTCTTTCTCACTCAGTGATCTCATCACTCACCTGACTTTAGTGAATCCCAAATATGCATCTCTAGCTTGATTGAACTTCTTCCTTCTCATGTGTCTTAGCCCCAAAGGCATTTTTGTGCTAATTAGAAAAAGCTGCCCTTTTCCTCAAGCACTTGACTGCCATCTTCTGGAAAATTTTCAGGATAAACAGACACCTACCAGATGACTGTGAATGTGAATGGTGTCTCCTCCAGCCGTGTGATCCTCGACCTTAGCAGTGGTTTTGTTTCCCCACTCCGGTGGTGGGTAATGGGTAACACAAGCTTAAAAGGTCCCAAACCAGACTCCTGATGCTCAACCCCCATCCCATCCCTGCCTCTTCCCTTCAGTCTTTTCTACTTCAAAATCCTTCCGCTTGCTGAGGTCAAACTCCTTGAAGTTATCCTTGATGCCTGTCTTTCTCCCACCGCAGCTTTAATCCATCAGTAGATGCTGTTGGTTTTTTACTAGAGTGTAACCACCTCTCACCACCCCACTGATGCCACCTTGGTCCATCATCTCTAACCTGGATTGTTCTGATCGCAGGCTTCCTCTCTCACTCCCCATTGCCTGTCCCCAACACAGCAGCCATAGTTGTTTCAAAGCTAGGCCACATCATGTTTCCCCTCTCCCCAAAACCCTTCAAATGGTCCACCATCTCACGCAGTGTAAAGACTAAGGTCCTTAAAATGGCCCACAGGCCCTCCAAATCCAGGTCTGTCTACAGCTCTGGCCTCCCTTCCTCCCTCTGTCCCCTGCATGAGTGCTCCAGCCACACGGACTGTCCTCTTCTTAGGCTGAGCACATGTCCGTCTGCCCAGGCACTCTGCCCGAACGCCCTTGCATCCAGCATGGCTTGGTCCCTCCCGTTCTTCTCACTTTATCATATCAGAGAAGCCTTCTCTGTAGAATGACCAAGCAACTTTCCTCCCCCGAAGCATTTACCATCCCCCTACTGTTTTATTTTCCCCACAGCACTTAGCATCTGGCACATGCACACTGTTTACTGTTTTACTTCACCTCCTTAGAATTTAAGCTTTGTGAGGCTAGAGACTTATTTTTTTCCCCTTTACTGTATCCCAGTTTCTAAAACAGTGCTTGGCAAGTACTAGGAGCTTAATAAATATCAGTCAGACAAATAAATGACTACCGGCATCCCTGAATCTGCCTGCAAAACGCTATCCTTAAAAAGATACAAGGGTTTGAGATGGTCCGGCATGATTATAATCTCTCAATTCCAAGATAAAAGCCTTTTCAGGAGTCCAGGAACTAATTTAAACCACATTTGAAAATTGCATTGATTTTACAACCTTCTGGAAGGGCATTGGTTTTCTACAGAGAAAGCAAGTAGGCGCCATCTAGTGGCAACAAGAGAAGTTCACATTTGTGTTAACTTGAATTTATTGATTAATGACAAGTGACAATGTCGTCCCTGATCCAGAAGCTTATTAACTCTATGACAGTAACAATTGTGATAGCCATAAGTCCTCAAGTGTGCATTTCCCACAAAATATATTAAGCTGAAAAAATATAATTCAATTTCGTCTAAATTATTTCTGACTCATTTTTACTTATTAATTTTTGCTTGTTTTCTGGAATCTGACTTCTTGTGTTCCTCATTGTTTTTCTTATTGTTTTGTCCTCTACTCATCTTTAAACTCTTACAGTCACATGGTACTGGCCTAGGCACTGAGTGGGTAATAAAATGAAGGCTCTATCTTCTGGGAATTTATATTCTCATACTAACAGCATCCGTGAGGACAAACATGTGACAGAACACGCCAAATGATGCGGTGATCCCTCCAGGCAAGATTTCTGAAGCCTGCTGAATCTTTCTTGTCGTATATACTTCTACCATCAAGGGAATGAACTTTCAGGAGACTCAGCCTGCTGTTTTTCAGAAAGTGGCATGAATCACTACATAGAGAAACTAAAAGAGAAAAATATTCCTGTCCGTGCACATTGACAGGCAAGACAGAAATTAAGTCTGTGTCTGACTGTCACTCTCACACTCTGAAAGCGAGGCCATTTCAGTCCCTTGCTAAATTAAAGCAGAAGCTCCTTGGTCAACTTTGGGCGTCTTCGACCTTTGCAGCTCTGTGCAGCCGTGGTGGTGGGAAATCTTTGCTCCCGGAAGGCCTGAGCAGTGATCAGACAAGCAAGGAAAGGGGGTGAGAGAGGCCGCAGAAGGACAGGAACGCTTGGTGCTGACACAAAGCTTTGTCCCTGGCCTTTTGACACGAAGACTTTGTCTGAGTGGCTCCGGAGGGCAAAAGTTGGACCAATGGACTGTGACACAGAAGCAGGTTTCATGCCAATGTAAACATTTTCCAATAAGAGTTTTTTCCAGAAAGGTCCAAGTCTCAGTTCTCCATCAGTGGATGGGTCCAAACAGAGGCTGATGACAACCTGCCATGGATTCGTCAAATCATTTAAGATTCTCTGATCCTCTGAAAGACCTTTCTTCCCCCCTGCACATATTGGAATCCTCCCCAATCTTCAGTATTCGGGTCGTATCCCACTTCTTTTTTTGGGCACTGCAGCTTGAAGCCATTTATCCTTTCTCTACTTTTCACATCATTTTAGTGTAGCTCAGCACTGATTTCATGCTGCTTGTGTTAGCTTTTTTTCTCTGTGATACAATCATTAGCTCTTCAAGTTAGGGATAAGCTGCTTGAAGACAGGTGACCACATCTTATAACCACCTCCCTATTGGCCTTGCCATTTAATCTTCAAAGTGAAAATTAAATGTTTATGGTGGGGAACGGTAGAAAGGCTACTACTAATTGCCTCAGCTGGCATCTGGGTCCAAGATGCTTAGCCTTTGTCTCAGTTTGGCAGAGCAATTCTTCAGCTAGTTATTAGAGAAACTGAAATATTTGTTAAGATTTGTTCCCTTGTTAAAATTATACTCAAGTTTTAAATATGATAGTACCTTACTGCTTTCTTTTAAATCGTGTTGTTTTCATATACCTGTTATCTCTGGATGTAGGTATAGAAATTGACAGTACTACAGTTGGTAGAATGTTACTTAAATTTTAAAAAATACAATTTTCTGTTATTTTTGTGGTTAGTTTTTCCTTCTGTCTAGATACTGATTTTTTTTTTTTTTGGATTATGGTAAGTATTTGATGTAATACTTTGTTATCTTTTTTTTTTTTTTCCTTGAGAAAATGTCTTTCCACAAGTTGATGTAGTATTTTGGATAGTATGTTTTTAAGCTAAAATATTCCACGTTTTTTTTTTTTTAAAGAATTAAGCAAATTTTGTTTCTAATTCGCCTTGCCTTCTGAGGATATGTTTATATATCTTAGCATTCCATCCTGATGGACTGGTGATATTGAAAAGGGAAGTGCTAACAGGATTCATGGGTACCCTAGAATGACTTTGACAATCGGGTGCTGTTATTTGTTTTACCATATGGACAGCCAAAATTCTCTTTAAATTATTTAATAGCTTAGGTAGTTTAAGAAGTGCTTATAGTACTTAACTGCTTATCTGAAAATTAGCAAATTTAAAATTCACAGCATTTGTACTATGTTTACTATTTCCAAGTATTAACTGTGATTCTTAGTAACTATTGTGCTCTGTCATTATGATGATTGAAGAGACAATATTGGATACTTTGACTTATAATTAAAGAAACATGTTTCCTCATAATTATGGCAAAAAATGCATGGATTTAGGTTGTATTATTCTGTCTTTTGTAGAATATGCTGAATTTCTACATTCCAAAGGAAAGAAATTCACAGATTTCGATGAAGTTCGTCATGAGATTGAAGCAGAAACAGATCGAGTGACGGGAATGAATAAAGGCATCTCCTCTATACCCATTAATTTACGAGTCTACTCCCCACATGGTAAGTAAAATAATAAAATTTCAAATTCTTCTCAAAAATTTTTACTACATTAATTAACATACGTTATCTGCATAGAAGATACAAGATGTGCTGAGTTTCTTGGATAGTGTTTGGACACTGCCATTCATGAATGGTATGGTTCAAAGAGCTCTTTGAATATTTGTGGAGAGTCAGGAGGAGATGACTTTAAAAAAATCAGAATTGAGTTAGTCATTTAAAAAACTTCCTTTATTTTTATTATAAATGTTTAGAATTCAAGAGGGTTATATATGAAAACTTGCATTTTTAATATCTTTAGTCTTTGCAGAAATCTTAGTGGTACATGCTACTATGGTTTAGTCTTCCCCTGTTTGATTTCCTTGCAATCCTATATTTTTCTATTTATTTTCTTCCTGAAGAATCAACTGTGATTTTTTTCCCCATGGACTAGCAGCAGAAACTTACAAATCAGATAACCAATTCATGATATATGATGGGAAATAGCCTCTATTCTGACTAAATTTTTAGTGGGACAAATTTTCTTTTCTCCGCCTCTACCTAGCTCTCTTGCTTTTGAAACAGAATATGAATGATATAAGCTCAATTATGACTTCCCAAGGGGACTTGGTGCCAACACATTGCATACAGACAGGTTAGACTGGAGTCATGTTGTCACTGACTCTGCTTGTATAGCCTGCTCAGTAGACTCAGGGTACCACAAATGGCTAACAGCTTTTTACTAGGCTAAGTGGCTAACCTTCTATAAATAGCATATGATGCTTTTTAAGGGAAGGGCAGATCTTACTCTGAGAATTTTTATACCATTTGAAGGTGATGAAGAAGGCTGGCAGGCAGCATATGCATTTACTGTTCAGTGTTTTAATTATAACTCCCGAGTTACAGATATGACAGCTCTTGGAGAAAACTGTTAGGCATGCAAATAAGTGCCTTTCAAATTATGTTGAAGTGATCATTTGGCATAGCACGGTCATATCATAAAAATAGAAAAAACTAGCAAAATCATTTTGCATTCTATGCTTTTTATTCTAACACACTTGGAGTCGTTCAGATATACAATGTATACAGCTGAGCTGAGTGACAGATGATTCTTTATTGTCATTGTTTAGCACTGAAGGTGTGTGTAAGACTCTTACCCTTTCCACACAGTGTTAAATCTAACCCTTATCGACCTACCTGGAATAACTAAAGTGCCCGTGGGAGATCAGCCACCCGATATTGAATATCAGATCAGAGAAATGATTATGCAGTTCATCACGAGGGAGAACTGTTTGATTTTGGCTGTCACCCCAGCCAACACCGATCTTGCCAACTCAGATGCACTGAAGCTGGCGAAAGAAGTCGATCCTCAAGGTAGGTCTGTGACCCTTAGGATGAGAGGGAATTGGTTTAAAATGTCAAGAGTTTTAGTGTACTTAAAGATAACACAAATTCTCATTAATGTCGTTAAATGTTTTGTATTTTAGATGCTGAAAGAAAAATAAGTAGAGAATATAGTTAAAACCTATACAAATAAATGTAAGAATAACTGAGATCTAAAGAAAATAGACATCTTTAAGCTTCATGGACTATTTATTTTATATTATTTTGTTGATTGGTTGAGACAAGGTCTTGCTCTGTCACCCAGGCTGGAGAACAGTGGTGTGATCATAGCTCACTGTAGCCTCGAACTCCTGGGCTCAAATGATCCTCCTGCCTCAGCCTCCTGAATAGCTGGGACTATAGGTGCATGCCAACATGTCCAGCTAATTTTTAAATTTTTGGTAGAGATGGAGTCTTGCTATGTTGCCCAGGCTGGTCTCTAACTCCTGGCCTCAAGTGATGCTCCCACCTCGACCTCCCAAAGTGCTAGGATTACAGGCATGAGCCACCATACCTGGCCTAGACTTTTAGAAAGTCAATAAATAAACTTTTAGTACAGCAGAATTCAGACAGTTTTCTAATTATTTTAACAGTTACCTGAATATACTCCCAATGAAGAATCTTTCTGTGGTTTTGTTTCCTTCTTTAAAATAGGAAGCCCTTTTAATGCATGTAAGATATTATTTAGCTTATAATTATGTGAGACAAATACATATTGCAAAAGCAGGAATTTATCTGTTATTGGCATTTCAAAATCAAGAAAAGTCTCTTTTGTATGTTGTTTTTTTTTTTTTTTTTGAGATGGAGTCTTACTCTGTTACCCTGGGTAGAGTGCAGTGGCATCATCGTAGCTTATTGCAACCTCAAACTCCTGGGCTCAAGGGATCCTCCTGCCTCAGCCTCCCGAGTAGCTGGGACTACAGCCATGCACCACCGTGCCCAGCTAATTTTTTCTATTTTTTTAGTTGTTTGGCTAATTTCTTTCTATTTATGGTAGAGATGGAGTCTCGTTCTTGCTCCGGCTGGTCTCAAACTCCTGAGCTCAAGCAATCCTCCTGCCTTGGCCTCCCAGAGTGTTAGGATTACAAGAGTGAACCACTGTGCCTGGCCTAATTTTCCCCATTTTCTTTGTTCTCTTTATCTGTAATTTTTATTATGAACATGTTAGAACTCCTGAATTAATATTTTTTTCAGTCTTTCTCATCTATCATCCATTTGTTTGTCTTTTTTTTCCTACATTTTATAAGACTTTATCTTCTGCTCTTCTAATAAATTTTAAAAATTCCAAAATCATTTTCTTATTTTGTGAAAGTTATTTTTATTTTAAAAAATAGCATCCTGCTTTTGGTTTCACAAGTGCAATATCTTCTCTAAGGATTTTAATGAGAGCTTTTTGAGGTTTTCCTTTTGTAGTCTATATTGCCTCTGAGACCATTGTTTTCTGGTTGTTTTTGTCGCTGTCTTTGATGTGGGAGACCTTTTTCAAATATTTGATGATCTTCTGCTGTTTGTTTATATACAAGTGGAGCATTAAAAAGCTGATGTATGTACCTGAAAGGGATTCATTGACCAGTGGACTCTTCCATAGGGTAATTGGGCTGAGAGTTGGCCATCTTGTTAGGAGACTTCCTCAGCTGTTAAATTCTGTGAGTATTTTCTCTTGAGCTGGTCTGCTGTAAGCCTGATGTCTAGTGTTCTTGGAGCCAAGAGTTGGTGGGGTAGGGTGTGGGACAGGAGGAGGATGGTTCTAATCAGTATGTAGACTTTTAACTGATCTCTCTGCTTTCATAATGGCATTCTTGAAGGTCTTCTTGAGTCTGAAGTCCCCTTGGCTCCACCTCTTCTGAAAGTAAATCTTCAGTATTCTACTGAGGTTGAGGAAGGGTAGCTGTGTGGTTGTGTAACATGAGGAAAAGGATTTGGAATCTAACAGTGTCCTATATGAGCCATCACCCAATTCTCCTGTTTTCAGCTCCTACACCCTAGACGTGGCTCTCCACTTCTTGAGCCTTTCCAGAATTCTGCAATAGTGATTGGTTTGCTTCTTCTTGGCTTCCTCCGATATCCCTGTGATTGAGGCTTGGAACAAAGCAGGTAGAGTCTCCAGATGGCTAGGTGAGGACCAACACCAAGGCTCCCTCCCCAGTGTGAGTGGCTTGGAATAGCCAGAGCATGGACTGCGATTGGAATCTAGTGATAAAAATGATGCTGAACCATTCCAGTCTCCCCAGTCTTGTTGTCCCACAGGACACTGAGCCATGGTTGTCTGATTGTGATGGAGATATTAATAGTTCTTCCATCAGTGAATTCTAGTGAGTGCAACACAGTCACATTCCTGAAAAGTCCACACTTAGTCCTTGTAGAAGAAACCAATTCAGTTTCTCAAACTATATATACTCATGGCATGCATCTGACATCAGATGTGTGATGATTTCTCCCAACCAGCAAGCAAGCAATCAGTTCTTTTCTGCATCAGACACCAGGTGCTGGATGTCTTCCAATTCAATTCAGTTCTACACTGGAATAGCATCAGATCACAGTGGTTGAGGGCTCAGTCCCACAAGACTGCCCTCTACTTCCAATGCCAATTGCAAGTTCCAGGTTGTTTTACCTGTGCTTCTGACCAAGTGGCTATGAATAGGGGTTCCCCAAACCCTTTCCTTGGGTTCTATTAATTTGCTTGAGTGGCTCACAGAACTCAGGGAAACACATTTACTGGTTTACAGAGGATATAGATGGAGAGATACATAGGGTGATGTATGAGAAGGGGTATAGAGCTTCTGTGCCTTCCCTGGGTGTGCTCCCCTCTAGGAACCTCCATGTGGTCAGCTGTCTGGAAGCTCTCTGAACTCAGTCCTTTATGGATTTTTATGGAAGCTTCATTATATAGGCATGATGGATTAAATCATTGGCTATTGGTGATCAACTTAAACTTCAGCCCCTCTCCCCTTCCTGGAGGTCATGCCTTGTTCTTTCTAGTGACCAGCCCCCATGTTGAAGCTACCAGGGAACTGACAACCATAAGTAAACTCATTAGCATATTAAAAAATACTAGTTACTTTGAAGATTCCAAGGATTTTAAGATTTGTATCCTAGGAAATGGGGTTGAAGACCAAATGTATATTTCACAATATTACAGTCCGGATGAAGCTGATGGAAGAATGCAAATGATATTACCCAGTCCCTGATTCCTCTTTTGTCCTACCTCAGTTCTGCTTTCTTGAGACCAGCCTAAGCAAGAGCAAGACCCTATC